CACTGAGCTACAGGTGCTGAACTGAAACTCACCAACTCGTATTTCTGCCAGGCTTCTTCTAAGGTCTATCTCCATCTCTCAGCCTTTAATCACGTTGTTCTTACCAGAAATTCTTCTTAAAATCTTCCTCTGTACATCTAACTCACTGCAAAGTTAGTCTCAAATTCTACTTTTGAAGTTCAACCACATATCCTCTAAGAAGCAAAGTCTGCACGAATCTTTCTCTCAATTTGTTTCTTTTCATGGAATCACTTATCATTGCTCACTGAAGATCTTGCATTCCAACCCACATGAGAGGACACTTAGATTTCCTCTGTATTCTTGTCAATCTCCACAAGGTTTTTATTTTGTGATAACTTGTTAAATGTGAAGAATAAAATGAGAAAGAGGAAAAAGGGAAAAGAAATTCTAAAATTCTAAAAGAATGCTGAGATTATACCCCAGAGAAAGAATCTTCTCACCCGTTTTGATAAGGTATATGGTGAAGGAATCTTTGAAAACGTAAAGCTGCATGCTGAGTATACCTAGATTAAAGAAAAATGATTATATTGATAAACATGGTACTTATAAAACAATGTGATAAAAGTTTTTATACATCAGAAGACTAAAAAGTTAGTTGGCATACACAAGTCATTATTCTATAGGCAGCCTAGTAGCAAGTCAGGTTTAATGAGCTGGGAACTGGGAAACTAGGGGTCTTGGCTTTATCTGTCACTAACTGTGCGTGACTCAGGACAAGCCAAGTCACAGTCTTTTCGTGCCTTGGCTTCTGCATCTGAATAATGAGGGGGTGTCAGCAGCTCTCAATGTCACTTTCATCACTAAAAACCTATTAAAATTGATTTTCTTAAATTATCTATAGTTAACACATCTAAGCAGAACCAAATTACAATAGCCTTTCTAATTGCATGAGAACAGTGTGTTTCTAGGTAACGGTGATTCTATTTCACTAAGTTCAAAGTCTTCTTTCAAAGAATAGGCTAAAGGAGTTTTTACTGCTTGCTATAACACTAAACTTATTGGTCTAACATACCACATTACCTTAGGACTATACTATTACTGTAAAAATGAAAATGCTCTTTCAAAATATATTATTTTCAAAAGCATATTTTCTACAGGAAGTATCATATGTTGGTTTTACTTACCCGGACTGTATAATGGATTGTGTTCTGTTTCTCATACTGAGAAACTACTAAGGTAAAGGTATGGGTCCCAGGTGTGGTCAGCTTTATCTTAGTCAAATAATGAGGGCTGTTAATTCGAATCCCATCAATGTATGGAGGTGGGTCAGCTGCAAACAAACAAACAAAAGGTTTACAAAAGATGAGACTTCTCTTTCTTTAGCTTCTGAAATTTTATGGTTGACAGTAGAAAAAATAATTAAATGGATGGACATCTCCTTAACTGATTCTGTCTTGAAAATATAATGATACTAGTGGATTATAATTTCAAATTAAAGTGAAATTTTTTTAAAGATACAAAGTATTTAAAAATAAATCTCTATTTCTCACTACTGAGAAAAGCTAAGAGACTAGTTTTTCATAAAACAAAGTCCCTTTTTGCTATCCACCTTTATTTTATTATTTTCCACTAATGGATTTGGTGGGTATCTCTTTAGATTTTAAAACACAAACACTATCCCCCTAAAAAACAATGAACAAGTAATTTTTTTCTGTGTATGTATCTAAAAAAGGATAATATATATCTTACTTTATAAAATCTTTCATTTTTCACATATTTTTTAAGATCTGTTTTCTATGTAGTTTTTTCTTTTAGTTCTTCCTTACAACATTCCATCTTATGAATGACATTTAACTATATACCTGAAAGTACTGAAAAGGCAACATCACTATACACAAAGGGAGCATTATTAAAAAACAAAAAACAAAAAACAAGTAAAAAGAGTAACAAACATACCTTAAATTGAAAAGTCAAATGTTTTAATGTTAAGAATATACTCACAATATCTATGCATTTTTAGTTTTATAATTACTTAGGAAAAATGGAAAATTTGGCTGGTTTAATTTGATATTTGTCACTGCAACTACTATATGCTATGCCCATTTCAGAAACTAATGACATCTACTGGCCTGCCCTCAGCACCAGTGTGATAGGGAAGAAAGCCATAATTTCCTATGATTAAACAAAATGAAACTTAACTTATTAATAATTTTGATGCCATCTTCTCCATTACTGTCCATTTCTTTGCATAGCCTTTTTGAAAGAACCGCCAATAATTGCTTCCTGTTTTTCTTTTTTTTTTTTGGATATAATTTCTCTTTGTCACCCTCAGTAGAGTGCCATGGCATCATAGCTCACAGCAACGTCAAACTCTTGAGCTCAAGCAATCCTCTTGCCTCAACCTCCCAAGTAGCTGGGACTACATGAGCTATTACACCACAGTGACGAGCTCATATTTTATGTAAGAGTCCATGAAAACTATAGAATACTTTTGAGTAAAGAGAAAGACATGCTTTAAGTTTCAGAAATAAAATTCTGACGGCAATGTGCAGGAATGTGGAAATCCCAAATTCCCTGAGTCTCTAATGATATGGCAAAATAAAATGAAGAACAGCATAAATACCTTCTATTAGTCTATAAAAATTACTAATTTCTGCATATGATTTGTCATTTTTAAATTTAATCATGAAAAAAATTTTAATGTATGTTTGTTTTAATGTTTGCTTGGCTATTAAACATACCTGGGTAATAAACTTTTTTCCCATCAGTCTTATATACAACCATTGTGATAAATTCCCGATTATTTGCAAAATCATCCTGAAATCACAAAGAATCCAACATGGTTAGAAAAATGAGTTCAGATCTTTATTTAATGTTAAAAAGAAAATCTTCTAATTTTAAGAGCATTTTTTCCCAGCTATTTATTCCTATAAAAAACATTGTTTCTCTGAATTAAGTTGTCATTTCAATAGATGACCAGACTGCATGAACTAATTAATTAAATAAGATTCTGAGACTATGAGATTATTTATACAAATTAACTTTTATAAAATCAGGATTAATGACTTAACATTTCCAAATATCCTCAGGAAATATTAAGATCTAATAAATCCCAAACCCTCAATAAAAAGTATAAATTCCCTCACATTTTTCTTTAGAGATGACTTCTGAACAGTATTTTAAGTGTATGATTATAAAATATAAATTTTCTTGAAGGAAAGTATTCACTGATCTGAGAAAATTCTATTTTCAGGGCATCTATATAAATTAAACATATTGACCAAATCACTTAAATCTTTCATAATGGTCTAACTACTGTATATTTAAAAAAATTTCTGCACAAGATCATTGGAAGGGCATCAGTACCTTGTCTGTTATGTGTCTACTAAGCAAAACCCAAACTGCAGCGCCCCCTTGTGGACACTGAACCTCCAGTTTGTACTGGGGGTTGTTGGCCAGGCTATAGGCATCTTTCACAGGTCCTTGCTTAGCATCCCAAGTACTAAAATATAAAGTCAACAAAGAAGAAAGTAGTAATTAAATTTCTTATAGAGCTAAAATATGACATTATTTTTAAAAGGGTTTTATTTCAAATATGTTAAGCTATCATATTTTTTTGGTTTGGTTTTGCTGTTCTTAAAATTTTTGGCAGAACCAAGAATAGAAAAAAAATGACTATCACAAGACAGTCACCTGTGGATATGACAAAAACGGGAAGAATGATCTGAAATGCAAAAAGTTACCTGTGAATACATGTTGATTCCTTAAAAAGACTTGGATTCCAACTCAAATAAATCACATCATAATACTGGCAGAGATCATCCCAGGAAATCCAAAATATTCCTAAAAATTAATTTTTGTTAATCTAATAGGAAAATCTTAATGATAAATGACTTAAGTCAGTTAAATACATTTCATCTTGCTAAAACTAATGCCATTTATTTACAGAACACATTAAAATTAAAAAGATATATTTACCATTATCTATTTTCTGAGCTGTCCGGGGATCAAAGTTTAAATACTTTTGCAACTCTGGAGTCCAGTTTTTTACATCATTTTCACTGTATCTTCCTTTCCAACGTAAATGACTCCAAGGATTTTTCAATTGGATAAATCGCAACCCCTGTATCAAAAACAGGAGAAAACATTAAATTGTAAAAGTGTTACTACTTATACCATTCTTATTAGAGAGGATAACTTTGAGTACTAATTTTTTCCCTTCAAATCAACTAGAAATTAATTTTTACCAGGTCATAATATCTGATCAAAAACTGTAAATGACTCCCTAGAGCTATGTGGTATAACACAGTGACTAACCACATGTAGTTATTCAAATTTCATTTAAATGAAATTTAAAAATCAGTTCCTGGGTGGCACCTGTGGCTCAGTAAGTAGGGCACTGGCCCCATATCCTGAGGGTGGCAGGTTCAAACCCAGCACCAGACAAACTGCAACAACAAAAAAAATAGTTGGGTGTTGTGGCAGGCGCCTATAGTCCCAGTTACTCGGGAGGCTGAGGCAAGAGAAAAAGAGAATCGTGTAAGCCCAGGAGTTGGAGGCTGCTGTGAGCTGTGTGATGCCACGCACTCTACTGAGGGTGATAAAATGAGACTGTCTCTACAAAAAAGAAAAAAAAAATTAGTTCCTTCAACATGCTGGCCACATTTTAAAATTTTTAAATTTTTATCATGAGCCTCATTCCAAGTGTTCAGTGATCATGTAGCTGGTAGCTAACACCCTGGAAAGCACAGATACGGGAGCTCCCTTAGTGCTACCTCACGGCATCAAGTATTCCCTACCTTGTCAAAGCTCATTCCACTCCAGCCTCACTTTCTTTTCCCACTACTCCCATGCCATGTATCCTTGTCTCTAATCTAGTCTTTCCCCTCACAATCCCATAAAATCCATATTTGATTTTGCTTCTAAATGCATCTGCTCATGCTGTTCCCTTTTCCTGGAAGACCCTCTCTGATCTCTTTTACCTGTCCTTTCTTCTCTCAGCGAAAACTCAAGTAGTAAAGAAAAGCACAGTCATCAGTAAGAAGAAAACGGGACTGTTTCATTGTCTATATTTAAATCTCTCATCATCATCTCACTACGGGTCTCCTAATCATTAATAACTCCTGGATGTTCTAACAATAAAAGAAAAGATATACATGTTTTGACTGATGTTTGTGGCAAATTATAATTTCTAAAACATACACAAACTTCTCAGTTTACTTAATTTCACATATTTTTAAATTTTTTGCTTTAAGTGGTCCGTTTTTATGCCACTTTTAAAAAAACACACAATTTTATACATTATGGTTAGGGCTGTAATACTGACTAGCTAATTTAGAAAGCCTTGAGGCCATCAGGTTTAAAATGTTGCAGCAGGTCCCTACTGCTCTCACATACAGTCATGTACCTCACGATGATGTTTAGAACAACCATATATGATAGCAGTCCTGGTCCCATAAGACTACAAGGAGGTGGCTTGGTGCCTGTGGCTCAATCGGCTAAGGCACCAGCCACATATACCTAAGGTGGCGGGTTCGAATCCCCAGCCCGGGCCTGCCAAACAACAATGATGGCTGCAACCAAAAAATGGCCGGGCGTTGTGGCGGGCGCCTGTAGTCCTAGCTACTTGGGAGGCTGAGGCAGGAGACTCGCTTGAGCCCAGGAGTTGGAGGTTGCTGTGAACTGTGATGTCATAGCACTCTACCCAGGGGGACAGCTTGAGGCTCCGTCTAAAAAAAAAAAAAAGACTACAAGGAGGTGACAAACTCCTACTGCTTAGTGACATCTTGATGATCCTGACTTTATAGGAGTCTAGGCTAATGTGTGTGTTTGTGTCTTAGCTTTTAACAAAAAAGTTTAAAATGTAAAAAAAGAAAAGAAAAAAATTAAAATAGAATAAAGCTTATACAATAAGGATATAAAGAAAATACCTTTGTGCAGTTCTACAATGTGTCTGGTGTTTTCAGCTAGATTTTATTACAAAAGAGTCAAAAAGTTAAAAGAAGTAAAACACTACAGTAAGCTAAGGTTAATTTATTTTTCAAGAATTAATATATTTAGTGTAGTATGAGCATATATACAGTATTTATGAATACAGTCTACAGTAATGTCCTTGGGGTTCATGTTCATTCACCATTCAGAGTAACTTCCAGGCCTGTAAGCTCCACTCATGGTAAGTGTCCCATATAGCTGTACCATTTTTATCTTTTATACTGCATTTTTACTATATCTTTTCTGTGTTTAGATACACAAATATTGTTGTGTTACAGTTGCTTACAGTACTCAGAATAGTAACATGATGTACCGATCTGTAGCCTAGAAGCAACCAGGCCACCCCACAGAGCTCAGGTGTGTAGCAGCCTATACCACTTAGGTTTGTGGCGTGCACTTTATGATGCTCACACAGTGAAGAAACCATCTCAAGACACATTTCTCAGAATGTATCCCTGCCATTAAGCAAAGCATGACTGTAAATCCATGTGCCACATAAGAAAACCAGTTTAGCACACAGTGGTACTCAGTTAATGTTGACCTCTTTCTATTATTTCTATTACTGAGGAAGAACCTTTCCTTAACAACCTTTGTTATTTCTAAACCATAGAACCAATCCATTTTTCAGTTAAAAATAACTAACAGCAACCTAAGAAGTAATGAAGTCAAATATTCTAACATCTGAGCTCAGATACTGCAGAGAAAGGGTCTGAAAGGCCTGACAGTACGCAGGGACTTCAAGAAAGAGAAATACACACTAACTGACCGGCATGTCTTACTTAGCTATTTTTCCCTTTTACAAATTATTGTCTACTATGCCCAGAGCTTAACATTGTGATAGATCTAAACGCCAACATGCAGTCTGGCACCATGAGGGCTGTGTATTCACCTCAAAACTGCTTTTATAGAAAAGAAAAAGCCACAAAAGCATTTCTGTTCTGTCACAAATATCTGTGCTAACACTATGATTTCACTTCCCACCTTTTAAATTCATAATTTCCAGTGGTAGAGGTCAAGCTGTTTCATGAAATAGGTAGATGGCTTAAAAACTCCACCTAAACCTTGGTTGGTCAGTATTCAAAAGTCTCATAACATTTAGGATCCTTGTCTTATCAAACAATAAAAATAAGAGAAAAAGATTTAAGGCAAAACCTTGAACTCTCTAATGTCCAAAACAGCATACGCATGTGTGGGAACCAAACCCCACTTCTCGCCTTCAGCTTCAGTCATCATTCCAGTAGATGCAGTGATGAGGACATCCCCTTTGTGAAATCTGGAACAACCCCAAAAGACAGCGAATTAAAGGAAAACACATTTGCAATTTCAGATCAAACTATCTTACCTTTTAGTCTAGTGGTTTACATGAAAATTTCCATAAATTTTATTTTTTTTCTAATTGGCTATTTTTCTAATGGGCTATTTCTAATACCTCTAAAGAGCTTTCTACAAGAAGTACATTTCTGCTGAGTGTAGTGGCTTATACCTATAATGCTAGCACTTCACGAGGCTTAGAAGATTGTTTGAGGCCAGGATTTTGAGACCAGCCTAAGGCAAGAGAGTGAGACTCTCATCTCTATAAAATTAAAAATTGGCCAGATATGGTGGTGCATGCCTGTAACCCTAGCTGCTTGAGAGTCTGAGACAGGAGGATCTCCTGAGCTCAGGAATTAGAGATTGAAGTGAGCTATGACTGTTGCTTCCTTGCAACAGAGGAAGACCTGTCTAAAAAAAGTGTATTTCCAAGTTATAGCAAATCTGATAAATTATCACATTCCTTGTTTCTTTTTTTCCCAGTTTTAGATTACTTAAAGTAGTCTCAAGTAGAAACCTATCAATGAAGGACAGCAAATGCTAATTTTTCAAATGGATTACAAATAAGGATAAAGATGTGAAATACCAAACTCATTTCCCCCAAAAGGAACATCACTTTATTTAGCAAATCACCGAGCTTTTCTAATGTTGCTACTCAATGAATGTATACATAACAATTTTCCAGTCCCTATATGTAGATTATCCATTTAGGGCTTAAATTCTCAGACTTCTTTTTCCTGTTGTTTGGTAGGCCTGGGCTGGGTTCAAACCTGCCAGCTCTGACAGCTTCTCTCAAATTGGTAAGTAACCAATAAGTACAAAAAATTTTTCCATTGTATGTATTCCAGATTCAAATATTTTAGATTATCTATTAACTGTAACCATCAATGAGGAAAACCGAGGACTGACTAAGCAAGTATATAAAGTGAATTCTATTTTAAAAGCTGTCCTAATAATGACTAAAAATGACAGCTTCTGCAATCTCTATCCTGAACAGGTCATCATGTTTTTTAAATGGCCTCTTTCACCATAAAACAAACAAAAAAAGAAGTAGAAATGTTTACCTTTGATAAAGCATTCTGAAAGAACTATCCTTACTAAAAGTTTGGCTATCTGAATGCATAGCAATCCTTTCTGGTATCCATCCAGTCAGTGCATGAAGATCAATATTCTGCAACATAAACACATTTCAGGACTGCTAATGTCATATTTAAGATCTTAACTAAACCCCCAGGGTAGCTATTAAATCTCACCAATTTAGTACCATGATTTTGGTAGGAATAAATCTGAGGGTAGTTTGTGTTCAGCTAGTAATAAATTGTTTCTTTAACTCAAATTCCTAACTGGATTTAAACACATAAATGTTTTTTTCTTACAACTTTAGCTGCCCTTCCTGAATACAAGAAAACTGTTACTGGTGAGTATGATGAGAACCCAAAACATGAAAAAAATTCCTTTTATTATGATGATGGTCGGCTTGGCGTCTGTGGCTCAAGTGGCTAAGGTGCTAGACACATACACATAAGGTGGCGGGTTTGAATCCAGCCTGGCCCACCAAATAACAATGATGGCTGCAACCAAAAAATAGCCAGGCATTGTGGCGGGCGCCTGTGGTCCCAGCTACTTGGGAGGCTGAGGCAGGAGACTCACTTGAGCCCAGGCGTTGGAGGTTGCTGTGAGCTGTGATGCCACAGCACTCTACCCAGGTGGATAGCTTGAGGTTCTGTTTCAAAAAAAAAAGAAAAAAAAGATGGGCACTCACCGTTTAGTGAATTCTTTTTTTTTTTTTTTTTGTTGTTGCAGTTTTTGGCCGGGGCTGGGTTTGAACCCGCCACCTCTGGCATATGGGGCCGGCGCCCTACTCCTTTGAGCCACAGGCACCGCCCCATTTAGTGAGTTCTTACAATATGATAGTCACTTGTAATATTTCACATACATTCCCATTCTTTCTAAGCTGTGTTGGGTAAATAAATAAGCAATGGGTTAGAAAGATAAAATAAAGGTATTTGAAGGACAGAGCAACTGAAAGAGCAGGCTGGGAAGGAAGAAACTTTGACAGAAGGTTACATTTAACATCGTTACATACATCTTCTTGCATTTAACCATACCTACATATTCGTCACCTAGCATTGTAAGAACCTGAAGAGTGAAGGAGCCTGGTATTTGGCAAGGAAACTAACCAGTTAAGAATGACGGATAATTTGCATGTATTGCTTCATCTTCACAACTCTGAGAGATAGATTTTATCCTTATTCTACAGACTTGCAAAGAGGCTAAGAAATGTAAAATACTGTAGTACCTTTTCTTTCTTTTTTGAGACAGAGTCTCATTATGTCGCCCTTGGTAGAGTGCTGTGGCATCACAGCTCACAGTAACCTCAAACCTCAAACCTCAAACGCTTAAGCGATTCTCTTGCCTCAGCCTCCCAAGTAGCTGGGACTACGCCACAACGGCGGCTATTTTTTGGTTGCAGTTGTTATTGTTGTTTGGCAGGCCCAGGCTGGGCTCAAACCCACCAGCTCTGGTGTATGTGGCTGGTGCCCTAGCTGCTGAGCTACAAGTGGTGGGCCTGTAGTACCTTTTCTAATAGGCTGGTTAGTGTCAAAATTTAAAGTCATACCAATCTGAAAAATTTCTGGCTTAATGTAACTAAAGGTCATAGACACACACTTCAGTATTACAGGTTAGGTTGTGTTAAGTTGGGGAAAACAACTCCTTGAACTTAATTTTACAAATTAAAATAAAGATGACAATATGACATCCATTTGATCTGAACAGGCTGCTCTGGAAATGTCTACTCTATTTAACTGGCCGTGTATCCCAACATAACAACAGACAGAAATTTCAGGCTTTCCTGGATATGGAAATTATACAATGTGCCATCCTTATACAAGAAAATACATATCCCCATAATAAGGGATTTTTCTAGAAGTAAAAACTACATCAAGAATATTAATATTTGAAACAGTCATATTAAACAGTATAAATCTGGATCATCCTATTTATTACTTACTGAGTTGGATCCCGGGAAATCATATCCTCCCATGACTTTCATGTATGCTTTTTCTATGAGAGAAACCCATAATTCACTTTTGTTGTTGGAATAAGAACAAAGCAATTCTCCCTTATGATCAACAGGTAACTGGTCATCAATTATCACCTGGAGAAATAGAATATTAATTTCCTTAGGTGTCATAAAATCTTAAAAACTTTTCTATCAAGGAAAAAAAAGTCTTTCATACTGATAAAAATCATAACATGCCTATTCTTGAGGTAGTGACAATTTCATGTTTTCAGAATCAGACCAATTATAATAATGTTGCTCATTTTAATATGATGGTTTTATTCAATCTTACAAACTAATCTGTCAAGTGATAACCTTGAACCATCTGGTTAAATGTCATTTAGCTACCATCAAAATAGTGGATCAAAAATCTGAAATTCAAAATGCTCCCAAAACTGAACCTTCTTGGGAGTCAAGATGAATGCTCAAAGGAAGTATTTACAGGCAGCATCTGTGGCTCAGTGAGTAAGGGCGCCAGCCCCATATACCAACGGTGGCAGTTTCAAACCAGGCCCTGGCCAAACTGCAACAAAAAATAGCCAGGTGTTGTGGCAGGCACCTATAGTCCCAGCTACTCAGGAGGCTGAGGCAAGAGAATCACCTAAACCCAAGAGCTGGAGGTTGCTGTGAGCTGTGATGCCACAGCACTCTACCGAGGGCGACAAAGTAAGACTCTGTCTCTAAAAAAAAAAGAAAAAAAAAAAGGAAGTATTTACTGCAGCATTTAGGATCTTTGAATCAGGGATACTCAACCTGTATGTACTCTGCATAATTCCCAAATCCAAAACACTTCTGGTCCAAGCGTTTGGGATAAAGGATACTGAACATGTATTAGAGATTCTAGAAATGCACATTATATTTAAAATAATTACAAAAGGGTGTCTCTATTAAGGTAAATAAAAATATTGTTGTTTGTCATTTTAAGCTAAACCTGTAAAAAAAGACTCATGTATAGTTGTAGAAAAGTATGGCTAAAAATATGCTTAAATAAGAGAGGAAACAATCACCACAAAAATAGTTTGTAATTCACGTGAATTACAAGGGATTTGGGAGACAACGGGCTTAAGAACTGTAGAGGCCAGGCATGGTGGCTCACTCAGGCTCATGCCTATAATCCTAGCCTAGCATTTTGAGAGGCCAAGGCAGAAAGCAGGATTCCTTGAGCCTACAAATTTGAGGTTGCAGCAAGCTATAACATTATGATGCCACTGAACTCCAGCAGACTGACAAAGCAACACCATCTCTTTTTTTTGGTTTAACTAATAGAAATAGGCAACTGTGTTTTCCAATTTTTTTTTTTTTTTAAAGAGCTAGGGTATCACTATGTTGCCTAGGCTGGAGTGCAGTAGCTATTCATAGGAGTGATCCCACTACTGATCAGCACATGAGTTTTGACCTGCTCCGTTCTGGACCTGGTCTGGTTCACCCCTCCTTAGGCAACCTGGCGCTCCCCCTTCACCCCCTACAGGTCACCATATTGATGCCAAACTTAGTGTGGAAACTGATTGGCACAGTATACCACAACTACAGACCAGAACTCCTGGAGTCAAGTGATCCTTCTGCCTCAGCCTCCCTAAAAGCGGGGACTACAGGTGCACACCACCAAATCCAGCTGTTTTGAGATTCTTTAAACAAGAGGTTAAGAATTAAAGTTCAGAAAAGATTCTCAATAATTTTGTTTAGTTTTTAAGAAATCAGCTTACTCAAAGGGTATTCCAGACAAGGACATCAGCACACCTTGTTAGAAATGCAAATTTCATCCCATCTAAAACCTACTAAATCAGAAACTTTGGACATGAGGCCCAGCAATCTGTGTTTTAACAAGTCCCTCCAGCTGATTCCATATGCACAAAAATTTGTGTACAGTTATGCCTCAGTATACATAGATGATTGGTTCCAGAAACCTCTATATACCAAAATCAGAGCACACTCAAGTCCCACAGGTAGACCTGCGAAACCTGTGTGCATATGAAAAGCTGGTCCTCCTTATACATGAGTTTTATGTCTCATGTTTGAGTCTGAACTGAGTTTGGTTAAAAAAAATAAAGTGGATCCCCACAGTTCAAACTTGCGTTGCTCAAGGGTTAACTGTATTACTGAGCTATATATTGAGCTGATTTTCAGACTGGAATCACCAGGGGATCTCTAAAATGCAGATTCTGATTCAGTAGGTCTGGGGTGAGGCATGAAATTCTGCAATTCAAACACAGTGCTGGGTGATGCTGATGTTGATGCATGGATCTGGGAGTAGACAAGGTGCCAGAGAATCCTAATAATACAAGGCCCCCATAACAGAGTTCAAAGTCCTTAAAGAAATTAAAGTAGTATTAACTAAAAATTATGCATACATTTTGCACAGGAAATAATTTTAAAGGCTTCTTACATATAAACACTTCTGACATAACAGATTTAGTTTGTCTTATTTCCTTTTAATGAAAAATGGTAACTAAAAATTCTCAGATTAAAATTTTTTTTCAGTATTAATAATCCTAGCTTAATGTTAATTATTAAAACTTTATATATATTTTCTGAAAATCCTTTTAAAAACAACTTTATACTTGTCATGGTTTTCATTTTAATTATTAATCTATTTACACAAGTCTACTCATAGTAATATGTATTATAGACTCAAATTCAGCTAAAATGACTTAACAAATGTTTATACAAATAACATTTCTTTCTTTCTTTTTTTTTTGAGACAGAGTCCCCCTATGTCGCCCTGGGTAGAGTGCTGTGGTGTCACAGCTCATAGCACCCTCAAACTCTTGGGCTTAAGTGATTCTCTTGCTTCAGCCTCCAAGTAGCAGGGACTACAGGTGCCCACCACAACATCCAGCTATTTTTTGGTTGCAGTTGTCATTGTTGTTTGGCAGGCCTGGGCTGGATTTGAACCCGCCAGCTCTGGAATATGTGGCTAGTGCCCTAGCTGCTGAGCTAGATAATATTTCTTAATGATTCTACTCAAAACTCAAAGCTGGGAAAGGCAGAGAGAGAACAGGTAAGGAGAGACATTATTCACCTTTCTTGGGACACCATTGAGGTGAAGCTTTACCATATATTTTCCACATGGATTGTACTCTGGTTCACCATCCTTATTCTGAGGGTAAATTATGCTTTGGTAAGGAAAATAAATATTGAAATACCAACATTAGTATTCAATATAAACTATACACGATATTTCATTTAGACATATGCTACTATCTCAGCAATTTCATAAAAGCAAGCAGGAGAATATTTTCCCTTAACAAGACTAGAAAAAGAAGTTAATTTAGTCTGTGATTACTACTATAAATAAATGAATCAAGTATTTTCTAATATCATAAAGCAGGGCATAAATTTCACAATATTGTGATAAGTGCTCAATTTTTAATTACATGCTTTAATAAATCATCTATTAACTAGATATATTTTAAGCCAGCTAAATCTTTTACCATTGGCTTCTGGAAGTAAAAAGACCCTTTTGACTAACCACAACTAAGGTAACTAGGTACTGCTCTGGAGAAAGGTTGTATAAAATTATAGAAGAAGTTGATACTTGTAACAACTACCAGTATCAATTTTCTTTTAAACAAATTCAGACCAAACATATTAAAAATTATTTCCTTACATGTCAAATAGCTAAAACTAAAGATTGTCTCTAATTCACCTTTGTACTCACAGGAAGTTTGCTTAAAAAATTATAGTGCTTAAGAATTTTTACAGTGAATGATTTTAAACTGATGTATCTTTTAAAAACTGAAAGAAATAGTTGAGAAACATTTTGTAAACTCTAAAGCAGTTCTAACTAACAGAAATATATCATTTTATATTTTCTAGTAATCACATTAAAAGTTAAAAAAAGTAAAACCAATATTAATAATTTATTTTATTTAATCCATTGTATCCAAAATACTATGATTGCAACATATAACCAATATGAAATATGAGATATTCTACAGTTTAACTTTTTTTTTTTGCTAAGTTTTCAAAATCTGAGGTGCATTTTACACTTGTAGTCTAACTCAATTCAGAAAAATCCATTTCAAGTTGCTCAACAGCTATATGGGGCTTGTGGTTACCTTACGGTGCATCCGGTTATAAAGTTTTATCAGTATGACATGATTTTACTTCGACCAGTTTCATTTGTGTCAAAACATATTAAGTCCATATATATTAACTATCTGTGCACATATAGTCTTAGACGGTTTTAGCACATTTTCTCCACATTCATGAATCATTTGCTTAACCTCTATAGAAGAGTTGTAATATTCTAGGTGATATGCTTTCTCCACCTTCTATACAGATAAAGCCTAAGATTTTAATTTCTAGTTAAGAGACAGTTATATGAAAAGGGCTAAAGGGAGAAATACAAAATTTTACCTGGTAATCAACTTCTTATTAAATCGTCTTTCATAAGCTGCACTAATAGCCAGTGATGCCACAAAGGAACAATCTGATACTATTGTCTGTAATAAGAATGATTTATTTTTCTTTTCATTTATTCATGTAATTTCATTTATTCATATTCATTTATTTATTCATGTATTTTCAACATCATCACAATGTTTAAGCATTGCATCAAACACCTGACTTTGTATACTAAATATCTTGACTGTTATTTGAGTAGGAAAATAATAGAAACATTGCACTGCTGACTCACATATTTCATTCAAACAAAAGGTAGAAAACTTGAATAATGTACTTCAATGAAGTTAATTTAGACTTACATTCAAATATTTTTCTATCTTTTATACTTATCTCTTATCAAAGGTGAAATTCAGATTCTCAATTCTCTCTTCTACAAGGACATAATGATAAATAGGGTCTATATAAAAATCTGTAATTATTCCAACAGATATTCATATTATTTCAGTATGCTTAAGTCAAAATGTGAATGAATAATTTTTCCAATTATCCTCATCCATCTGAATACACAAAAATCTAAGGAAAAAACCCAATCTATACTCAAATTACTTTAAAATGCTAACTTTCACATAAAATTAAACAAAATAAATATTTACCTGCTTTATGCTAAAACTAGACACAGTATATATCATTGTAGGATTGTTGGTGAGGTCTTCCGGTCGTACCCATTTGGAAAATGTAGCTTTTTGTTTAGGTGATAATGGTAGCTTGCCCAATCTATCACTGGAGTAATAATCAAAATAATAATTAGATTAATCTTAAAAGATGACTCAAAGTCAAAATTAAATTGGTTAGTTTGTTTTTGGTATAGTGATCACAGCTATACTTAATGTTACTCTAAAATAACCCTCTAGTCAAATCTGGCTCTTTACACTTAACCATGAATCTAGTCAACTTAATCATTCTTACTAACTATAAAATATAAATAATTGAAAACAAAAGAATAATCTAAATTTATTCCATTTATATTTACTTTAATAACTTTTTTCCAGAATCTAAGTGAGTTGAAATTTTATTTTTTTAAATTTCAAATTTATATACTTTTAAATTATATACTTTAATGATTTAAAAAGATTAATTTAACATAGTTATGTTCAAGAAATTCAGAAATAAAATGCAGCCATTAACAGTAGCACAATCTGATTAATTCAAAAGGACCTCGAAGCTATAGATTCTTATCTGGCTCTTAACAAATTTCTCTCTACAAGGCTTATAATTAGAATAGCTAATTTACTAAATATTAACCATGTGTCAGGCACCATGCTAAAGTGTTTTACATACATTATCCATTTAGTCCTCAAAACAAGTCCATTAAAAGCAAGCATTTTTAGAAAAAGCTTAAAGTGATTAAGTAACTCACCAAGGTCATACACCTAAGAAGCTGCAGAACTGGCATTTGAATCCAGGTCTCTACCACTGTTAGACTTCTGACACTGCTACCCTCTACTCATTGTGTGTTGTATAATATTTCTCTAAAACTGATGTGTAGCATGCCAAATAAACACCTACCTTTCTCCAAACCTTTTCTAGAGTAAGGACAATGATCATTTAGATTTCAAAAGATTTTGAACAACAGAAGGTATATGATATGCAAACTAAAACAATATAACAATCTTTTTTCAAAGAATGCTGACAGATGTTAAGGTAAAGGAGATTTTGTGGTCAGGTATGATCTGCAAGCTCCTGAATAAAGTATTGGTTTTTTTCGCTGCAAGTCACCTCTAGACTTTTAACAAGCCAATATTTATTCTAAATGTTTTACAGTAGAATATGACACACAAACCTTTTTTTTTTTTTGGCTGTCTTATAGAACCTCTAGTGTTCCAGGTAAAATTTGGTAGTATAAATAGAAAGTGAACCGATTAAATTCAGAAGCATTTAAGCACAGCTATCACAAAATTTCAAAGGCACAAATTAAGACTCATAATTGCTAAATATTTAGTATTATTACATTATCTTGCCATATAAACCATAATAAAGAGTAAACTTAAGATTTCATAATGTCTGTTCACTTAAGTCACCAGTAAATTACCAAATCTGTCTTTTTTTTTTCTGAGACAGTTCTGCACTATCACCCAGACCAGAGTGCCCTGGCCTCAGCCTATTTCACAGCAACCTCAAACCCCTGGGCTCAAGGAATCCTCCTGCCTCAGCCTTCTAAGTAGCTGGGACTACAGGCATGTGCCATAATGCCTGACTGATTTTTCTATTTTCTTTTTTTTTTTTTTTT